GCCGACTATGCAAGCAAGGCAGCAGACCGTAGGTCGGTCTCAGGATGACTAGTGATGTGTGGGGGTGGGTGTGTGACTTGGTTTTCGTGGACGCAGAAGTGCGTCACGCTCTCCACAACGGAAGCAGAGTATGTGGCNGTTGGATGGGGATTACATTTGAGAGGGGAGTGGTCACTGGCATGAGCATGCAGGTGTTTGTGGATGCCGACTATGCAAGCAAGGCAGCAGACCGTAGGTCGGTCTCAGGAGGACTAGTGATGTGTGGGGGTGGGTGTGTGACTTGGTTTTCGAGGACGCAGAAGTGCGTCACGCTCTCCACAACGGAAGCAGAGTATGTGGCAATTGCCGACGTCTTGAAGGAAGTGCTTTTCTTGAGGCAGGTTTGGCGTTTAATGTTGCCAGATGCAGGTATGCCGTGCATTCCAGTCTTCGAGGATAATCAGGGAGCGGTTCAGATTGCGCACAACCCGATCACGAACTCAAACTCGAAGCACATCGATGTACGGCATCACTTTATCAGGGAACTGGTAGAGAGGAAGGAGATTTCGATTACGCATGTGACGTCGGAGTTTCAGCATGCAGATTTCTTGACGAAGGCTATCAGCAAGGAATCTTTTGCGTTGCACAGAGACTTTGTGATGAATTTGCAGTGAAAGAAGTGTTTTCGGATCAAATCGTGTTTTTCCGCGGAGTGGAAGAGAGAGGATATGTACGGGCTTGAACAAGAGATGGAGAGAGGCAAGTGGAGATGGTAGTGCTTTGGAGAGTTAGTGTTAGGGATTTTTCTTGTTGATTTGGGAGAGTTGGTATGCGATTGATTATTTTCGGACGTATTGTATTGGTGTTGGGATTTTGTATTTTCGTTTTCTTGGTTTTGATTGTGTTTTGGGATGAACTGGTATGAAAAGGATGACCTTGATATTTTGCCGGAGCATGACGATGCGTACGAGCAGGGGGGCTATTCGATATACTCGTAGCATAGTATGATGGTTGAGATATTAAGTACGTACGTACGAATATGGCAGTGATGAGATGCGGAGGAACAGGAACTAACTTTCTACATATTTTCCTTGGTTGTGAGAGGCTTTTGGTGAGGATTCAGAGAGATTCGTTGTGTGAGAAAGCATGAAGGCGTGACTCGATACCGTGATGGTTTGACGAGCACGAGCACGCCCCCGATTAATACAATACGGATACAACACGTTTCCCAACACGTTTTTACCCATCCACGCCCCGTCATGGGCCACCCGCTCTAAACGCCAAGCACATAGAACTGGGTCACGTTTTACAAATTTGTTCCCATTATTCAGGCTTTGGACATTGAAACCAGTACGCGTATTCACGCTTGTTGATACTCATCACGGGCCTGTTCGCTGCAACTTTTTGGTGGGAGGAAACGGGGAGCAGAAGTGGTACGGGTCTTGCTGTAGCTCGACTGCAGCGCGTGTGTCGGGGCTTTTCAGCATCCAGCAGAGAGTGTGCAATCCAGGGAGCGAACAGCGGTACTCTTCTTTTTCATCCATCTACTCTAGTCTATACACGAGCATACCCCGGGATTTTGCTTGTTAGAGAGAGAGGGGCGGCACCGGCCGCTGTTTTGAACACCGCCACTCATTCAGCAGGCACGAAACGCCAGGTACGCCAGGTACGGCAGTACAGCAACAGAAGGGCTTAAAGATATGCATAGACCCCAGCAGCAAGCAGCCTGCTCCGTAGGGATGAATCGCCCTTGTTTTTATTCGAGCGAAGCGAGATTTCTAATCTTGCCTGAGAGGGCTCAGCGCAATATAGGGGCCGATGCAGGAAAAAAAGTGCGTGCGTGTGTTGTGTTCGCTTAAACTAGGTTTTAGAGTACAGGACTTGATTTGTGACTACAGGGCGCACTTTTTTTTTTTACACAGCAGAGCAGCAAACAGCAACAGCAGACAACACGCGCTCAGCGAGCAGACTGAACACACACGCACAGCAGACAACACGCGCTCAGCGGGCACAGCGACACACCAACAGCGCAGAGCGGACACAGCCACAGCGGCCTGCATGGCATGGCAATTGCATGATGAGTAGACGTCCGTTGGGGCCGATTGACCCGAACTCCCTCCGTGAGGCAGAGACGCACACAGACTCGCGGCGCAGACAAAGCCACGGGGAGAGGGAGCCCCTAGGCAGCCCACAGCTTGACCGGGCGAGAGCTGCTGCTCGTCAGAGGACTGCCGCCAGGCGTGCGGCGGAGACCGATGGAGCACGGGCAGAAAGGTGCGTTGCGTGTGCGTGCGTCTGGGCGGCGATTGCCGGAGAGGGGAAATCGAGTTCAAATACACCAACTGCCTTTTCTTCTTCCGCGCACACAGCACTACTACTGCAGACTACTACTGCTTTCTTCTTCCGCGCACACAGCACGACTACTGCCCACACACAACACATCGTACACTTCGTACGCACGGCACACACACACAGGCTGCGGGCGGGCCGGCAGAGAGCCGCCGCTACAGCCGCCGCTAGGCGACTGCGAGGGCAGACACCACAACAGCGGGCGGTCAACCGAGAGAGAGAGGCTGCGAGGCGCCAGCGGCAAACACCACAGCAGCTGGCGGATAACCGAGAGAGAGAGGCTGCGAGGCGCCAGCAGCAGACACCACAAGCGACAGAGGCCAGGTGTGGTGTGCATTGGTGTGGTGTGCATTGCATGCATAAAAGGTTGTTGGTACCCAGCATTTTTGGAATTTGCAAAATACTTTTCGCCGCATGTCAACTTCGCATGGTCCACACGCACGCATCACGCTGCCTTTCTTTGCAGATCACGCATCACGCTGCTGCCTTCTTTGCAGATTACACGTTGAGACTAACCTCACGGGCCCCACTTCGCAGGCGTGCAGCGGGTAGAGAACGGGCAGCAGCGGCCAGAGCCGCGGCCAGAGATGCCGAGAGGGCCAGGCGAGAGAGGGAGGCTAATGTGAAGCGGAGAGATCTTGCGGAGTTTCACGCTGCTAGGCCGCTGGAAAAGTTGGGTTGGGCCAGATTAGAGATGCAAACGAATTTCCAGCAGCCCATGACCGCCCGGAGGATGCACGTGTGCACAGTGTGCTCTGAACGTTGGGACACCGCAGAGGACGGACCAGGGGACGGACCAGGGGACGGAGGTGCCGTCTACAGGTGGGTGGTCTTTCGTGTTCAAACGCGTCGACATGAACGTGTCGGCTTGGTGCATCACGTTGCATCATGTTGCAATGTTGCAAAAAAGAAAAGGACCAGAAAAATACACTGATGTATGGAGGATACCATATGCCTGGGAAAAGAAAAATGGAAAAAAGGAAAGTGGATAGAAAAATGCATGAGCAGGGATCGAACTTTGGTCGGGATATTCATAATTTGCATACCTACCGCATATGCCAGGTGCTCTCCACTGATGTTGGCAACGGCCCTCACGTTACCCTTCTATACCCCACCACCTGCCGCCCCCACACCCGCTGGTTCGTACAGTTGTCCGCGGTGCAAGAAGGACAAGAAGAGTCCGAAGCTGTTCTCCGCCGACAACACCATGGATCCTGGGAGCGTACCCGTCGAGCTCCAGGGCCTGACCCAGACGGAGGAGATGCTCATCGCGCGGTGCTGTCCGATCATGCGCGTCCTCCACCTCAAGGGTGGGCAGCTAGGGTACGGTGGCCATGTCGTCAACGTCGCTCAGGACATCAGTACCTTAGCCGCTGCCCTCCCCAGGTTGGCCGCCGATGTACCGATCATCATCATCCGGAGGGAGGGGCAGGAACCCGGCCAGCACAAGGACCTACACGTGCGGAGGGCTCGCGTGCAACGGGCTTTGCAATGGCTCATTGCCAACAACCCGTACTACCGCGACATCGTCCTTGACAACACGGCCCTATCCCAGCTCCCCGTCGACGGGCAACTACGTGGACTGCGAACCACCGTCAGCGGGGGAGACTCGGAGCGTGACCTTGGCCCTCGGGGGGAGGGGGGAGGGGAGGAGGACGGCGATACCCCCGAGGACACGGAGTCCTTTATGGCTCCGGCAGGCAAGAGCATGCTCGAGGACCGCGCGATTGAAGCAGCCCTGCGGAGGCAGGTGAGGGAGAGCGGGGCGGATGTTCCGGTCAACGCCTGGCCTGGGATGGAGGCGACCGCCCTGAACGAGTTCAAGACAACAGGCCTCGCGTCCATGGCCTTCCCCGCCCTCTTCCCATGGGGGAAGGGAGACCCCACCGACCCGGCACGGTCCAGGAGCGTCAAGCCCACCGACGGCATGAGACACCTTCTCAAATTCTTCCGGGACGGTCGCTACCGCTTTGCATCTCACCCCCGTTTTCCTCACTGGTGCCAGAACATGCTCGAACGCCACAGGATGCTCAGCCAGGCGCAGGTCTACCTCAAGCAAAACCCAGGGGACGCCGCCATGACGATAGAGCACATGAGGCATCTGTTCCGGTCGGGTTCGCCGCTGGCGCAGCAGCTCACACAGCGCATGTGCCGGTACGGCGCCAACATCACCGGGTCTAGGCCGTACTGGTACGCCAAGCAGCAGGAGCTCCAGGCGATTTTTGCCACCAAGGGCTGCGCTACTCTCTTCTTCACGCTCTCTGCCGCCGACACCCACTGGGACGGCCTCTTCGACCTGATGCCACCAGGGTACCAGGACTCCCCAGCGGGCAAACGGAGGGCCCTCATTGAAAACCCGCATATCGCCGACACCTACTTCGGCAACAGGGCGGACGCTTTCACCTCCGCCTTTTTCGGCGGTGTACTCCAAGCCCAGTCGCTGTGGTACAGGCTTGAGTACCAGGGGAGGGGTAGCACGCACGCGCACGGATGTGCCTGGCTCCAAGACGATCCCGGTATCGTCAACCTCGTCTGCAAAGCGTACGCTGGGAGGAAGGCGGCCGAACGGATGGAGGCGGCCGAGGGCCTGGCCGCCGGACAGGGGGGGATCGGCGACGAGGAAGAACGCCAGGCTCTGGAGCGAGCCGTCGCCGACGGCAAAACAGCGGACGACAAGGTTTGCAGATACGCCGATTGGCTCATCTGCACCGTCAACACTCGGTCTACGGAGGAGCGCGCCGCCCATCCGGGGGGAGTGCCAGACCCTCACCCATGCTCCGTCAACCCCTTCAAGCACGGGCCTGTCAGCGACGAGGCCACAGGCCGTGCCGACATCGACGGACTCATCAACTGCTGCCAGCGCCACGTTTGCCGTCCTGAAGGGTACTGCAAGCGCGCTGGGCGGCAGGGGTGTCGCTTCGGCTTCCCGCACGAGTGTCAACCCGAGACCTCCTTGCAGTTCGAGGAGATGGACAACGGCTCCGTGAGAGCCACCATCAAAACCAAGCGCAACGACGGCAATCTCAACAGCTACTGCCGCCTTGCTCTCTCTCATTGGCGGGCGAACATCGACTTCCAACTCATCTTGGACTGGGACCAGGCGGTGCGGTACATGGTGAAGTATGTGAGCAAAGGAGAGAAGCGGTCGCCCGCCGCCGCCGACGTCTTCGCCCGGGCCATCGGTCGCGCGGACGATGACGCTGACGAGGCGCAAACAGTCCTGCGAAGCGTGTTCCTCAAGTGTACGGGCGAGCGCGACATTTCCGCCCAGGAGACGGCACGGCTGCTCCTCGGGAACAAGCTGTGCTCTTCTTCTTTCAGCTTCGTACGCCTCGTCGTCGACCCTTCCACCAGCACACGCCAGGTTAACCTCGACGGTGCGGCGGGGGAGGGCGCCCTCAAGAAATCCATGCGGGACCTCTACGCCGGCCGGCGCAGCGTCATCGACAAGTACCCATCCATCATGGATGTTAGCTACTTCCAGTTCCACCAGCTGTACACTCGAGACCGGGGGGGGGGGGTCACGGCGAGAGACGGCGCGGGCAGCCTCGTCGTCATCAAGCTGCCTGCCCTGCCGTGCTCTCCGGGGAGCGCGCGGCATCTTGAGGCCTGCCGCAACAACCTCTTCGCCCACAGGCCATGGGAGGATGAGCCGACAACAGCCTGCCGCGACATGGGGGCAGTCACGGACCTGGATGCCTCAGCCTCCATCTCCGGAGAGGAACCCAAGCTCGCCCTGCTGTGGGACGCCTTCGTCCAAGCCAACCAAGACCTGCCCGAGCTGCGCTTCGGCGACATGCTGGCAGGGCGGCTGTCTCTTGCCCGCCGAGAGGCCGCGTCCACGGCCGAAGACGACGACGACGACGGCTTGCTCTTAGACCAGCCCGACGATTGGATGGATGGGGCCAACATGCGGCGAAGAGGCGCCGCCAGGGAAGAACAGGAGGTTGACACAAGGTGGGACGCTGAATACAACTGGGCCGGCGCCCGAGCGACTGAGGTCCAACATGAGCTGGAGAGAGGGCCAACGTGGATTGCGAACGCCAAGAAAGCTGCAGCCGGCACTGGCCCCGCCACCGAGATTCCTCATGTGGCTCCGGACTCTCTCAATGAGCGGCAACGCAATTGCTACGACGTCGTCAGGGACCACTTCGAGAACGAGCGCGAGGAGCCACTGCGCATGATGGTTCTCGGGACGGCAGGCACGGGGAAATCATACCTCGTGTATGCCCTCTCCAGGCTGCTCGGCGGCTTCCTTCGACGGGCAGCTCCAACCGGTATGGCGGCCTTCCTCATCGCCGGCAGCACGCTGCACAGCCTCCTCCGACTGCCGGTGAGGCAAGGAAGGAATCTCCAGGGTCAAAGCCTCAAAGCCCTGCAGAATTCCCTTACTGGCGTCAAGTACATCATCATCGACGAGCTATCGATGGTCAGCCAGTCCCAGATGGCGTGGGTCGATCGACGTCTGCGACAAGGGACAGCTGTAGACAAACCCTTCGGCGGAATCTCCCTGATCATGACCGGCGATCTGGGCCAGCTGCAACCGGTGGGAGGAACTCCGCTGTACAAGCAAAACCCAGCTGCCGCGCTCAACGTTGAAGGCTATGCCGCCTACAGCCTCTTCCAGGACGTCTTCATCCTTGACAGAGTTCAGCGGCAGACGGCAGCCGCCGCCAACGACGACGACCAGAGAGGCTTCATCGAACTGCTGCCGCGTGCGCGTGATGGACAGCTTTGCGACGAGGACTGGGACCTCCTCCTGAAGAGACAGCCCAACCGCCTGACCGCCGCTGAGAAAGCGGCTTTCGAGGACGCAACGAGGCTCTTCTACTCCAAGAAAGAGGTCAACAAGTACAACGGCAAGAAACTCCGGGAGCTGGACAACCCCGTCGCTCGTGTTAGCGCCGTCCACACGGGCGCGAACGCCAGGAGGGCGACAGCAGACACCGCGGAGGGGCTCGAGAGGAACCTCTACTTAACCAAGGGAGCGAAGGTTATGCTCTCGAAGAACCTGTACCAACAAGTTGGGCTGGTGAACGGCATTAGAGGCGAAGTCGTCGAGTTGGTGTGCGCAGATGATGCGCCCCCGCCGAAGCTCCCCCTTTACGTTGTCGTCAAGTTTGAAGGGTACTCGGGGGGGGAATGGTCGTCTCAGGAGAGGTATAGACGTTGTGTCCCTATTTCTCCCGTCGACACCACCTGGCAGGACGGGGGGACGCAGGTCAGGACGCAGCTGCCCCTTAGGCTCTGCTGGGCAATTACGATGCACAAGTCCCAGGGGCAGACTTTAGCCAAGGCCGTCATTGACTTGGGGCCCAAGGAGGCCTGCACGGGGCTTACTTTCGTCTGTCTCAGTAGGGCGAAGAGACTTGTGGACCTCATGGTAGAGCCCATGAGTTTCGACAGGATTGGTAACCTTGGAAATTCGCCGACGATGAAGGCTAGGCTGCAGGAAGAGGTTAGACTTGGGGAGTTAGCACAGAGTACGAGGGTCAAGTACACGGACATGGGCGTCTTCAGCGCCGTCGCGGGTAACCAATGACGTGAATTGCAAAGAGAAAAAGAAGAAGAAAGGGTCTCTTCCACCTCCCGCGGACGCACACGTCTGACGACAGTTACATCTATCAGCTGTCGCTCGTTTTAGCGACAGCTACTATATCTTCATGATATCATGGACATGGAATTGTAGATGACATTGTTGACGTTGATTGTGATCCTCCATGGCGCTAGCGCTTCACCAGCTAAAAAAGGCTACCGAAAAATCGGGCTGCGGGGCGGGGGTGACTTTGTCTGGATGCCTTTTTCGTGAATTGATTCACCCTTTTGGGGGGGCAGAAGCTAGACTAGAGATAGTTAGTTGTGGCTTTCATGTTACCGCTTATGCATCTCGTCTCCGTTCCGTTGGCTGTGGGTACGAAATCTTTCGGTCACTCGCGGCACTTGAGCATGTTTGAGTTAGGATCGACCCCGGATCGAAGCTCGCCGTTTCAATTGGAGTTGATATTGTTGTTGTTTTTCTTCACATTAGACTCGTGTCAGTTGCTAATCCCAAAATCTAGCAAAGACTGGGTCCGTGGTAAAAAAAATGCTAGAGCAATCAGAAGCTCTGAAGAACACACACACTATTAGCAAGAAAAGGGTACGCAAGCCCGAGGAGGCACACCTGCAATCCCTGCAGCACGTTTGTATGCTCACAACTGAACTACACGCCCACACACTACAAATCGACTACAGCAGCAGCATCACCCCCCTTGTCCCGCATTTCACCAGAATGAATGTTTGTCGACTACAGCGTACTGCTGTCTGAAGTGCTGTCTGTGCAATAATAACATCATGGTGCATGGTACACAAACTCGGGGCATGCAGCTGCTGTCTGGAGTGCTGTCAGAATGAGTCCGTGGACATGCAATGAAGAAGTACGCCCAACCAACCAAAGCCATCATTGCAATAGACAATCACCCGAATCTATCCAGATCATCTGTGTTAGGCCCAGCAGTGTGAACTTCGACACTGACTAGTAATCGTTCCACATTGAAGGGGTCTTCCACGATGCAGGTACACAATTAAGGCACCCGGGTTATCCGCGCCATCTCTGCCGCGTCTCTCTACAAAACCAGTGACTGACGTCATCACACACACCCAACACCAGGTACCTGTAATCAAGAAAAAAACGGAGAAGTAATTGACAACACAAGAGATGTTTGTCCGTGCGCCACGGTTCGATGCCGTCCGCCTGCTCTGTTCTCGCTGCTCCGGTGCCGCTGCTCCGGTGCCGCTGCTCCGGTGCCACTGTGGCCAGTCCTAGCACGACCAAACTCGACCCGCTCCGCTTCGTGCACGCTCTCGTTGCTGTCCATTCCAGTCGGTTCCTCGCTTTCTCTCTCATTGCACTTGGGGTTCTTGGTCTGAAATTCTCGCGCCGAAGGGTCAACCAGCCCAGTCAGCTCGTCACCACCTGTCCCCTCATCCTTTGATGGCAAAACCAGGTTGATGAGACAGTACAGCTCCCTCTAGCACACCTAGGGCCGTATACATAGTGCCCGTCCACCTTTCTGATGACGTCTGCCTCCGCGCACAAGGATGAGATGGGCATTGCTGCCTACACCGACGGCTTGGAGGCCCGCGCATCTGCACCTTTGTACCTGACGCACCAGTGCCGAGCTAACTCCACCACTACGCACGCCTCGCGGCGGGTGCGCCGCAGCAAGAAGGTATCTCCCTTGAGGGTGAGTCTAGCCCAGCCCGCTAGAAAGACCCCCCCCTCGCTAAGGGTCCCCCCCCGGTGTTTGCCGTCGGGGTTGGGCTTTCGTCGCTTGGCAACGACGTTGTAAAACAAGCCCCCCGCTCCTCCGGTGTTTGCCATCGGGGTTGGGTTTTCGTCGCTTGGCAACGACGTTCTAAAACAAGCCAATTCACTTCGTAAACTCGGCAACCAGGTTACCGTTTTCTATTTTGTTAACCACTGTTAATTGTCGGCGGTAACCATAATGGTGGTCGAGTAGATCATGTTGAGCGGGGTCGAGAACCCTCACTCCGCGCAAGGGGGATGATCGCACCACGTTGTGTTAAAATGGTCAAGCACCCTCGAGGCAGTTACACAGTGCTTACCACAGTCTCTGGAAGTGAAAGCATCAGAAAATTACTCAAGTCATACGCAGCTGTCATCCGTACGCAAGGAAGAAAGCACAAGATGTCGAGCACCCTTAGCAGGATGCAGCGCACCCTTCATGCGACTCGC